ACGACATTTACGTCAATGAAAAAAAAAAAAAAAAAAAGAAAAGAAAAACAGAAGAATTTCTAAAAAATTCGTTGATCTGTTGCAAAATCATTAATTTGAATTTCTTTTTTCTATCACAGATATCTGTTTCACCTGATAGCAGAAACACTTCATGGGTATCCTTCGATGGTAGAAATAGACAGGAGCTTTTTCATGGCGATAGGTAGAAATCAAGTTTCTAAATCTTTAATTCTCTATGTTTCTCATTGCTATTACAGATAATGGCGAACAACAAGTATTTTGCAACACAGCTTACGTCTCTTTCGATGGTCGCAATCAGCAAGAACTACGTGTCGGGGATAAATCTGTCTTGTTATTTCGTAAAAGACATTCTTTTTTTTCATTTTCATTTATAGATTCAAAATATTCTTTTACGATATTCATTCATTTTTTTTTAAATTAAATTCGTAAATGAAATTCTTTTAAATTTCACTTTACAATTTCTCTATATATTTCTTTCCTTGATATTTGGAAAATATAACTTATAGATACTATTAATTATTTTTTTTTTTTTAAATTTCTATTTGTTAAATGATATGAATGATGGAATATTCAATATATATATATATATATATATACATCGATATTTTTTTTTTCTTCTGGAGACGTTAACTGTATTGCAAGCTGACAATGTTCTCAATGTTTTATCTATTACTATTTATCATATTTTCATATCATGTGTTTAACATTAAATATTTTTTATTTTTTTCTTCTATTTTCAGTTTAAAAGTAACAACATCCATCTATCCAGTACCCAGCATTTGTGCTGCCGACCAAATTACTGATTGGTTCGATTCATTGGCAGAATGTTTACACTGGAACGTTCGCAAGAAGCAGAAACACTTGGATGAACTGAGCGACTTGACTCATTCATCTAGCAACGATACGCTAGATTCTCTCGATCGTGATAGCTAGGTCAGGCAAACGAGTCAGAGACTGAACCAATACAATCACTTATACATCAAGCCCTAAATAATTATGTTCAAAATCATTTAATGAATCGATAATTGTTCGATAAGACTTGGTTCGATAAAAAAATCAATGACTCATTGCCTACAATGCATGAAAAGGGCAAGTCGTATAACTTGTGTTCTAACTTGTGTTCGTTCTGTCATAAAAACAGAAGAGAATGAACTCGTCTAGTAATCGTTAAAAGAACTGAAATATCGTACATGGATTGCAGGCACTATTAGCGATTTACAGGTTAGCGGAACTCGAAGTTCTCAAAAGAAATAATAATATTTTGATACGTTCAAAAGTAAATGAAATATCGAGATTGTTCGTCTTTACGAAATAAAAGATCGTAAAGACTTTATGGCTATAATCAGTGCATCGAAAAGCACAACAGAAGTGTTTCCTATGTCCAACGCATAATTCTACAGTGATATTTCACTCTAATTTGCAAAATCATTTCTAAAACAAATTTCTTTTCTCTTTTTTTTCCTTTTTCTTTATTGGATTTAAATTAATAATGTTGAATATAAGATTATAAAGTATGAAAGTATTTGAAGAAATTATAAAAAAAATATTAATGATAGAAATATTATATTTTAAGAAAAAAATACATTGGTGCAATTAATTTGTTTAATAAAAAAGCAGAATGAATTATTAATATTCTTATTTAATAAACAAATTATTATGAAAAATAATATATTATGATAATTCATTTTATATTGTACACTCATATTTATTTATTATACTTGGATTTTTTAAAATGCATTTCAAATTATGAATCAAAATAAATTTATAGTTTTTGATATAAATATTGTGATTTTGTTAATTGCAATAAAATAGGCATATAAGCATGAATCAATTATAAGAAATATTATTATCGATAATTTTTTCTGCTTTGTTCTGAAAAAATAATCCGATTATGGATTATTCTTTTGTAAATGTTGAATGTACTTTTCCTAATGAACATTTTTAATAAAAAAAATCATTTTTGTACAGAGAATGTGGTCTATTAATAATTAAGACAATAATTACTTACTTTACTTAATCATTGTATAAATTCCAATAAGTAAAACAACACAAAATATTATGTATAAT